TCCTGCTCCTCTGATGCTGCTTGGCCTGCTGTGTTTATCCAGCTCTACACCTTGTTATCTCAGATTCTCCAGCATCTGCAGTTCCTACTACCCATGGATGGAAGGTTGGCTTCTGTGATGGTCTGGGCTGTGCACACCACGTTCTGTAGTTTCTTATGGTCCTTGGCAGAGCAGTTGCCATACCAGGCTGTGACGCACCCGGACAGTATGCTTTCAATGGTGCTTCTGCAGAAGTTGGTGAGGGACGTTATGGACATGCGACATTTCCTGAGCCGCCTGAGGAAGAAGAAGCATTGTTTAGCCTTCTTGACTGTCACATTTATGTGGGAAGTCCAGGATAGGTCGTAGGTTATCGTCACTCCGAGGAACTTGATGCTCTTCACTCTCTCAACCTCAGTTCCGTTGATGTAGATGGGGGCGTGTTCTCCTCCTTTCTTTCTAAAGTTGATGATCAGTTCTTTAGTTTTGCCAACGTTGAGAGACAGATTGTTTTCATTGCACCATGTCACCAAGCCCTCTATCTCCCTTCTGTATTTTGACTTGTCATTGTTAGATATCTGTCCCACTATGGTGGTGTCATCAGTGAACTTGTAGATGGCATTCGTTTAGAATTTGACAACACAGTGTAGGTGTACAGGCAGTACAGTAGAGGGCTGAGGATGCATCCTTGGGGGGCTCCAGTGTTGAGTGTTATTGTGGAGGAGGTGCAGTTACCTATCCTCACTGATTGCGGCCTATGGGTCAGAAAGCTGTGGATCCAATTGCAGAGGGCGGAGCTGAGGCCAAGGTCCCACAGTTTTGAAATCAGTCTGAAGGGGATAATGGTGTTGAAGGTAGAACTGTAGTCAACAAGCAGGAGTCTGACGTAGGTTCTTTGTTGTCCAGATGTTCCGGGGTGAGTGCAAGGCGAGGGATAAGGCATCCTCTGTGGACGTGTTATGTCGGTAGGCAAACTGTAGGGGATCGAGGCAGGTTAGGAGACTGAAGTTGATATGGGCCATGACCAGGCTCTCAAAGCACTTTATGATTATTAAAGTCAGAGCTATTGGGTGTTTCTCAGGGGCAGTTAGAGCTGGGCAACAAATAATATCTTTGCCAGCCACGCTCACATCCCACGAACAAATAACAAAGAATTCTCAAGATCCAGGATGTAATCAACAACAAGCCAAAGGAGGTGATGTTAGGAATGATAACTAAAAGCCTGGTCAAAGAGATGAGTTTTAAGAGAGGTTTTAAAGGAGGATAAGAAAATTAGGATATAGCAAGAGGCTGGAGTTATAGGGAAGGAACTTCAGGCATTAGTGCCTGGAAAACTGAAGCACATTCACAACAATGGAACAACGGATTTACAGATGCCTCAGTCTGAGCAACAAATAGTCCTCAGAAGATTTTATGACTGAAGAGGGTTACAGAGATATGGAGCGATGGTGCAACTGAGAAATATATCTTAAATTATAGTTGTGAGAAATAATGTAAGCTAGTAAGCAGAGGGGTGATACATGAATGGACAATAGCATAGAATCAGCCAAGCACTGGATGACCTGTCATTTGTGAGGGATACAGAATGGGCATGTTGTGAAGTGGGAAGAATAACTTAGTCTAGCCACTTGAGGTATTTTTTCGCTGGTCTCCTTTACTCAAGCATATGCAGTGGATCCAGAGGACAGAACAACATCTCTCCAGTGACACAGAAGAACATTTACAGTGTATTTTATAGTATCAAAGTTTAACAGATATCAGTGTTCACATGATCCACCTGCTGCACAAGTGGTCACATCGAAGTTTGTACAATATGGTTGATAGAATATTTGTTTCTTATTCAGAGTCCGCCCACATCTTGTTCTTGGCTGCTTGCTTACCCTGTTGGTCATGATTCATTCTCTCCGTGTCATGCTCAGGCATGCTTGTGCTGTGCTAAACCTTGTTGGTCAGAGTTTGCTTACTCCCTATGCTTGTCCAGACATGTTTGCGCTATATTAACCCTTTCAGTAGGTCAAAAAGAACAGCAGAATAATTATTTCTGGTGGCGAGAAGGATGTGGATGAGAGTTTCAACAACAGTAGGGTAAGGATGGGCAGAGACGACCAAGGTGATGGAAGTCAAAATGGGATGTCTTTGTGAAGAAAATCCTAGTGGGCTGTAAACTTAATGCTGGGTCAAAGAGGTTAGCAAGTGTGCAGCCTGATACAATGGATAGAAAAAGGGATTTAATCAATAACAATATTCAGAGAAGTAGTGAGCTTCAAAAATATTGATCTTAGCTATGTTCAACTGGAGAGTTTTGCAACTGATCCAGAACTGGATGAGATAGGGTAGGTGGTGAAGAGGTAGAGCTGCATGCCATTGGTGGAGCCTGCCATCAGATAATGTTGCCAGAGGTGGGGGCAGTATTCAGATAACGAACAATAAGGATAGATCGTCAAAGGAATGTAGAGGTTAATGAGGGCTGCATTGTTGGAGATGCTC